TTGCTGGCAGGGGTCTGCTGAAATGACCGTGGCCGGGACGGAGTAGGAGCAATGACGGCACTTCCCTTCTGAGTTGGAGTCGGCTTCTCGGCCAAAGTCAAATGGAGCATGCCAATGCTGGTTGAATACTTCAATTTGGCAGGCGGGTCTGCCCCTGCCGCAAGAACCCTGGACAATTGTCGGAGGTTCGTGATGCGAACCGGGATGGCTATCCAACCGATGCTTTCCAAAGCTTCGGTCACCTCCCGGATAGCCACCCCCAAGGGAAAACCCTCTACCACATAGAAATGCTTCATCTTGATGCCAATGTTCTGGACGGTGAACCTTTCATCATCCGGATAGAAGAACTTTCTTGCTGCAGCGATGGTCGGATCTGATGTCCGGAAGAATGTCTCGCCTTGAGACCGGAAAAATCCAAGAGCACCACTCAATTTGCACTCTTCGGCCAGGACAGCCAATGTCTTGTCAACATCAATCCGCAACACTTCAAGCCCACTTTCCGCAGGATCCGTCATTGAACGAACTGCGCGGATCTGGACACTTGAGAGGCCTGACATGCGATAAAGTTGATCACGGTGAGCGGCTGGAATCTGTAGACGCTGGCACCAATAGCCTTGCCGGGAGAAAGGCTTGTAGCGAACCGTCTGCTCGCACATGCCACATTTTTGGAGCAAAATACGGACGTATCCCTCAAAAGCCTCACTGCTGCTGAGGTCAGTCCAGTCTTTCGAAGTTGCATCAGACTCTCTCAACTCTACAAAAACCGGCATTCTGTTCACAGTTTGAACGCTGAGCAGATGGTCGGCTTTTGGCAATTCAACGAAGTCATCTTCTGAAGCACTCATGTTGACCAAAGTAACTGCTCTAAGTTCAGTGGTCTTTGCTACTTCATCTCGAACTCCGATATTTGTGCAAATGAGCCTTTCTGGCCCAAAACCCATTTTTGCCAGCCTCTCATTGTCAAAGCCCTTGATGACCAGGATAAGAGGACCGACTGTCCTCACATCCGAAACCTTCTCTGCAGATGCAATTGTAGCAAAAGAGATGCCACAAGAAGACTCCTCAACCATGGAAATTGGCCAATGCTCCATTCGGCATTCACCTTCCCAAGAAGGAAAGATCAAATCATCCAAGTCTGCAACTCGAAGGCCTTGACGGGCTGCCGTGCTTTCCCAAGTAGCAAACTTCCCACCGCCCCGCAAGCGAGGTAGCACAAGGAGGTGACCACAACCACCCGGGTACACATCCCGGATCAATTCATGAGGAGCAAGCTGACGGCTATGTGTGGCAAGTCTGACATCACCTTTGCAGTGAAGAATCTCTTTGACCTCCTCAATGGACCAGGACGCATCCGCACTGATCATCCGGGTACCTGGAATGCCTTTCACAAAGATTCTAGCCATGTAGGTTTGCGATTCCGGAGAATGGTCATTGAGGCAGGAATCCATGGCCCGCGACTGCACCGCAAACGCGGCAAAAGGCAAACTATGTACCCCGGGGGGAAGAAAGCTAATTGGAAAAGGTGGTTTCCAAAAGCTGAACATTGCAGGAGGATACCAGAACAAAAAGAAAAGCAATGCCACCATTGGTTGAACCCACCTGTTCGTAACAGCCCCCACGATCGTGAACGTTGGTGACGTGGGAGATCCGGGGATCACGCCCTGGTCTTGGACCAGAATGGGAAAATCCCTTGAGAAAGGGTTTTGTGTTTTTTTTCACTCCAAAAAGTTGGTGCTCACAATAGAGTACCATCCAAACAATTATATTATTGAGTAACTGAGCCACTCATGAGGTACCCCTTTGAAAAATTGTCTGGATGCTGTTTTTTTAAATAAGGGTTTGATAAGGCATCTAAAATAAAATTAATTAAAAATAAACATAAATAGAAAAATAATTAAAAAGAAAAGGAAAGTTAATTAAAGCATTTGGAAAAAATATTTTTTAAAAAAATCAAATCTGGAAAAAATTTCTCACAATAGAGGCCCCCCCCAACAATTGGCATGTGACTGAATTAGGAGCAAGAAATTTCTCACAATAGGGTACCATCTCTTTAATCAGGTGCAAACATTAAATGGTTGTTTCCCCTGAAAGCCAATGAAAGTCGCCATAAGTCACCGTTTCTTGGTTCATTGGTTCTAGCTTTAAAGTTTTGGGGTGGTTTGAGCAGGTCGCTGGGGGCCCGGGCTTCGAGCAACTCATATCTGGCGGCCTCGGTGAAAGAAAAAAGATCCATGACCCTCCCGAGTTTACCCCTGGAATCCAGGGCAGCTGACAAGTTCCAATCCAAATATATCCAAATATCATTTGTCCAAAGTCCAAACCCACTTTGCATGAGTGTTTGGTCTTGCCACAGAGACAAAGGCAGAGTGAGAAGAGAACCAAGCAGAAGTCGGATAGTTATGAATTGATTTATGATCAATCTGCGGATGCGGATATGGATCAAAAACAAAACTTTGCTGGGAGCTGCATTGGATGATTTTGTTCCTTTCACAAAAACTTTCGCCACTTGGGTACACTAGTTGACAACGCCCCCTGAAGAATTCACCACTTGATCCATCTTTTGCCTTTTCCTTCCTGAGACGTGCCATCGGATCTGACCATCCCCAAGTATTGACTAGACTATACATCCAATAGGTCCATGGTCCATGGTCATAGCATATCATAACCCAACAAAAATACCAACAGCACATACCCAAACTCCACAACTTGCCGAAGCTGGCGATGAAAATGTCCCCCCAGTTCCCTGATGAAGCCATGAAGATCCATTGAGATCCGGCGGCCCTGAGGTCCTAACGGTCACCAGAAATGAGTTCGCAAATCGCGACCCAAACCTCGAGTCGCAAGGAACGCAACGGGATGGGAGTGATGGAACTGGATGGAAGCAGTGTGAAACCCGGCAACACCGTTTTGCATGGTGTAAAAGAAAGGCCCAATGACTTGAGAAAAACATACAGTAGAAGAACCATCCAACCTATCGACCTTTTTGGGACCTTCAGAAAAACCATCAGTCGTTTTAGAACATTGATCAACCGACATTGGAACCCGATGAAAGGACAAGAAACGGATCCAGCGATTATCATGTGCCGGCTGGCTGGTGAGAATCTGTTTCTGATTCAGCATGTCTCAAACATAGCATCGCCCCAGTGTATTTGTCTTTTGGTCATATTTGGTTTTTTTCTATTTCCGAAATAAAAGCAACCATCACACGCGCGTGCGTCAATACTTGTGGACGCCCAAGCCTCTGACCCTCCTCAACAAAGTCCAATACTCTCCACAAATGCAGTATTTTGGTATACCATGGTAAACCCATTTCATAGCAGTGCCATTTGATCACGGGGAAAATGGGGTGGAAAAAAAACCACTGGCTTTGGGGCTGCCATTTTGATGGAGAAAGCCACCCCAATCATCAAGATCATCAAGCGGCTGCAGCGCAATGAACAGCAGGGCATTCCGATCCAGCATGGCGCAAGAATCAAGTGTGCCCCATGACCTACGTCCTAGTTCCTTGCTGTCACCTACTGTAAATATTGGGTCTGGCTTCAATGCACCCGCAAGTTTTGGTCGTGCTTCCATGCCCAGATAAGTCCAACTTGACCCAACCACTAGGGAGGATTCAAGGTCCAAAAAGCCACTGATGTCCTCCAACATCTTCATGGGAAAACCATGCTGGATCTCTGATCTGCTGTGATCACCAACAGATAATCCGTCACTGGCTTCGTTGGACGAAACAACTTTAGGAATCCTTCGTGTTATCAACAAGATATGGAGAATTCAAGTCAAATGTCCCGATTTTTTTCTGGCAACCCCCAAGAAGATCAAAGAAAATAAGGTCCCACCAAACATAGTGATAATTTTAGTTGGTTTCTACCTTTTTGTGGCTGTCTATAAGCCCATTCCAAGGGTCCCAAGGGTCCATCTCCAGCATGGTCATCCCAAGCCCAAAAAGCTGCGAAAGCTGCGGCCGTCACGTCGCCGCTATCTTCGATCCTAAGGTCACCCACTTTTTTTAATATGGGGATGGGTCAAAACCCTGGTACCTAGTGAACCCCAAAATAGCTGGTAAATGGATGTTCATCCCACTAAAAATGGTATTAATAGATATTGATCCATAGCCATATCTCAATATCCATGGAGATGAGGATAAAGTGGGGATATTTGGGGGGATGTTCACTAACCCATATGCTTTATGATCTTTATGGATTTGTCTCAAGGGGGGGATTAACTATTAACAATGAAATGGCCCCATTGAAATGGCGGAAAATGATGATAATCCTTGGAATTGGTGGTGCCCCATTTCAGACAAAGCCATCTCAAAATTTGTGGACACTCGAGTCATGATGGGTCTCCTACTAATTCACATACTTGAAAATCACCATGATCTCATAACTTGATGTAAATCATTGGTGCTGTAGATGTACCAACACTCTTTTCATGTGTGGTTTCCTCTGATGAAAGTCCGTTGACTTCAGGGCAACGAATGTGCGCAGCAGCTTTTTTCAGGTGCAAACACTCTTGGGAATTCCTCCAGAGGTGAAACACGGGTGGCTATTTGCAGCACTTGGTCAAGCTGGGATCTTGAAATCCAAATAGTTCCCCTAGTTTCTCATGGAAAAAAACTGATGTGTGATGATGTGTGGCCATGGTTCATGCCCATCTTATGCTTAATCAACAATGTATATACGATGAGGTCCTTTGAAGTCGCTATCCTTCTGAATCTTGGGCCTCTGGTCAGAAGTTTCTCTATGAACCCGGCCCCGTGGCCGTCCCGGAGAGTGCCAGCTGTGGGTCAGGCGTTGATGTCCAGAAACCATGGTGTTTATTGGGTAGCAACCAATGGGTACCACTGGTTCATCCGGGTTCATCCGGTTTAGGGGACGGTAACCCAAAAAAAACAAAAAGTTGTGACATCGACCTTCTTGCATTTTGACCCACAGCCATTTTTATGTGCAAATGGCTTTGCCAAGGTGAAAAAAGTTGTCTGTTTGTGAGACGTTTTCCTGTCACACCGGCTTTTTGGAATCACATGCTTGCAGACCGGGCCTGAAACTCCAGAGGCGGTGACAAAAAGCAAACAAATGTGCTTTCGAAGGCACATACATCATACATCCTTGAAAGCCTTCGGCCATCCATTCTCATTATCCTTCCTGGTTGGTCAATTCAACACCTTTCAACCCATCCCAAAAAATTACTAGTCACTGGAAATCACCATCGCAGATATCGCAGGTAGGTTCCAAAATGACAACCATTAGCGCCACCCAAATCAGCTAGGCAGCTGCCAAAATCGCTGAGTTGGCAACACTGTTCCTCCCCGAAGAATCTGCAGCAGGCCCTGCGGGGAGGCGGTAGTGAAACCTGACCTGAGTTCCATATTTTCCGCTCCATTGGAATATGCGTAAAAATTGGAATTGATTGGATGATTGGTGCCAAATATGAAATAAAATAAATAATATCAAATAAACTACATCTGCAGGTTATCTGGGCCTTAGATTTTGATGAGCCATACACATTTGACATCGTACTCCAAGCATTCTTATCATATTTTGCTTGCCAACAGGTGCCAGGTAGACCTCGAAATACCCGAAATCTATGGAAAATCTATAGGAAATCATAGGAAATCTATGAGCCAACCCCACCAACTGACCAACTGAATGGAAGGTGCAATGGAAGGCTCCACCTCGCCAGTGCTGGAGATGAAAGGCACCTCAGCCATGGCTCGGGAAAATCGATCATCCTATCATCCCAAGAGGTTTTGCCATTGACCCAAAGCTAAGAACGGGGCATTGGCTGGATTTTCTGCAAAATTCTCCAAGAGTTTCCGGCTGTCGCGACCTGGGCTTTAACAAACCATGGTGTTATGCCCCCCCGTGAAACCAGCTGGTCTGCTTCCCACATGGGTCTGTCTGGGGTATATACGGTATACGCATAAAATTGCAATTTTCTAGGATAAATGATGATAAACCGGCGGATTTAAAGTAGACATCATTTTCAGACAACCCGTATATGCCAGTATAAGCACAGAAGTCAACAGGCGTTGGGGCTCCGGACCGAGCACTGCGGCCATCTCGAACTCTGCCCGTCGCTCTTTGGGCTTGGAATCTTTCCTCAGCGGTTGGCTGAAAGGCCCATCCCACAACGTGAAAGTCACTTGGGGGTGATGAATATTTGAAAATTCAAGTATGGAATCAAAAAGCATCCGAAACAACCAGCTGGACCTACAATTTTGATAGCATGTCTTGGCAGGAAAACCCAGGGCTTTGAGGGATTTATGATTCCATGTGGTGAAAAGAAGGCCACATGATGGACCAATGCCACTGCGAGGGTGTTGGTTTTGATGTTGGGGGCTGACATCAGGAATTGGGTAACCCACAACATTGGCAGCACCACCCAGCTCTGAATATTGAGGAGCTGGCCTCACTTGCTCCTCTTTCTCTCCGTCTCCGGATTCTTCCTCGCCTAGTAGCGCGTGCCGGACGTGGCAGGGTGCACACGTTCAGAGTGTTCATAACATGGATGGCGTCGGTGCTTATTTTATAATATATATATACATCATCTATCTCCAAATATCTACACATGGTGCAGCTCCCCCCTCCTTCTATGGGAAAGCCAAAGCCTGTGAACTGTGACCATTCGGCGGCCTTCTTCGTCCTCTGCCTCCTCATCTTCTGCCTCCTCTTCGTCCTCCTCGTCTTCTTCATCCTCAAGACTATTGGTGCATCCTACAAGTTGCCTCATATATTATAGCTTATTATAGTATATACTATGTAATTACATGAATTACGATGTGTAGATCAGGTCGCACAAACCACCTACCAGGACCATGTTCCCTGCCTCCCCAGCTCCAGTGAGACGCGACTCCAGCATGGCCACGAAGTCTTGAGTGCCCTTTTCAAAGCCCTCCTGGCAGCTGGTTTTCATCCCATTTCCACATGAAAAGTGGGAAATGCTCCGCGTTTGGGTGGAAAAACGGAAAAACCCATCCACGCGTGGATGTAAATTTTGGGGATCTCCATGGCCAGGATGGATTACTGAAGGGTATTGGGTTTCCTAGCAATTGTACTGGGATATAATGGGGATAGGATTCAAGGAGCGAAGCCAATTGAAGAGTGTGAAAAATCTCAGGGTCCTCAACATAGAGAAGATTATCTGAAAATATCTCAAATATATTCAAACAGGTTACTCTACTATTCTACATTCATGGAAGATCAGCAATGGCCAGGATGAGCTGCACCTCGCAGCGGCCCAGGGAGCCGTTCCAAAGTGCTCCACGGCTGCGTCGCAGCAACATCCTGGAGAGCGCCAAGGCATCAGAAAAATGTGGGAAGAAAAGAACCACCTGTAACTAGAAATTAGAACATATCTTTAACAACCAATTAGGATTGGGATTGGAATTGGGATTGTCTTGTTGTAGATCGATAGAGATGTCCTTGCAATCTGAATTTACTACAAGGTGCATCCTTCTATCACATGGTATCATAATCACATCAAAACAAAAAGACTTAATCAATATCTGGTGGTAACTGATGCAAAATGGACCCAGTATGGACCCAAAATCCCCTATCATTCTGGTCACCGCTTAAATTATTCACCTCCAAACCCACGTTCAAGTACAAGTACCCTCTGGTTCTAGCATAGCCATAGAAAATGACCCATTTCTGGATGTAGATCATTGACCTTCAAAAACATGACCATTTTCCATCTAACTTCCCAGAGCCCAAAAAAAATCCCCAGCCAACCCCATCCTGAGCTGCTCGCCCGTGGCGGGCCCCACATCCTTCACCCGCCAGGGACTCGGCACGCCGCCCGGGAAGCACTCGGGCGGCACCGGAGGCGGCGCCGCGTCGGCCGCCTCGGCCGGGTCCGCCGGGTCGGCCGGGGCATCGGCATCCGCGGCGTCGGCCGGTGCGTCGGCCTGGCCCAACCAGATTTGATCCGAAGGAGATGGGTTTATATACATATATGTATATTATATATATATATATGGATATACTGTATGTATGTGTGGATATATATATATATAATTTTTTTTGTAACGTTAAAGTTTGAAAATCTCAAAGGGGAGTATCTTTCTGGGGATCACCGAAGCAATGATTCTGAATGAGACCGGCCTCTGGTGCCACATCAGCTGCACCTGTCCGGTGCCCAACCGCTGCCCCAACAACTGCAGAATGCTGCTTCAAACCCAGAGCCTCCCGCATCTGGCACCACTTCTGCAACGGCTGCGGCGTCATCTTCCCTGCAAAAAAAACGTGGAAATCATATGAAATGACTGCATCATAAACTTCATGGAAGTGACAAATCGCACGTATTGGTTGAAGGGAGGAAATCATATCCCTGTTGTTTCACCATCACATTTTGCGCAGGGTTCAAAAGTCACAATCATCATAATCTTAGATGCTCTGCAATTTTAGCTGGGCACTGTATTCCCCATTCATGGCAAGAAACGGAATCAAGTATTCAACTTCCCATCCAAGGTTTACCCTCTAGTAATCAAACATGGCTCGCTGGAAAATCCACCAGCAATAGTTCGTTGATTCTCCATGATGTAAAACCTGGCAGATTTCCTAGCTAGCCATGTTTGATTTCTAGAGGGTAATCATCATCTTGGCCCGTCCCTAGTTGGATCGCCTGCTTCGAAGCTTCAGGATGCCATGAGTGGCGTCCAGCTCGATGTAGCAGTCGCCTTGGAATTGAAGGCGACTGGTGGTGTCAAGCCTTGAAAGCGGTCATCGTCATTTAAAGGGATCATCCCAAATCATGAATGGAGGTACCCTCGGGTAAACATACAAAAAACTATGGAAAATCACCATGTTTTCAATGGGTAAATCCACTATAAATCACCAATTTCCATAGCTATGTAACAAATTACCAGAGGGTAAAACCACCAACCAGGACAGAGTTTTTCCCCATCTGAATGGAAAGTGTTCCAACTGAAATCGCCATGTTAGATCCACAGGGAAACAGTCATGGAACTGGGTCAAAATCCCAGTCGCCTGTGGCTCACATTCCAAACATGAACATACCCAAATTACGTTGGGATGTGAATAACAACCCATACCCATTTAGAAAATCATGGTGTAATCATCCGTGTTAGGATTATGATGATTCTATATCATGTCATAGTCATCCAAATGTAGTTGATCAATGATATATAATCCAACCCAGGACCTGGTGTGTTTATCATGGTGTATTGAAATCCTTACCTTTTTGGTATGTTTAACTCCCCCGTGTTGGTCAGATCCTCAGTTTTTCGCCGCGTCGTCGAGCCACAGCCATCCGCGACGCCCAAGAAGACTGGCGGCTGCTTGGCGGCTTCTTTCCAGGATTCCTCAGCGGAGCAAAGCTGGAGCAAACGTTCGCCCTGATCTGCTTGGAAAACCATGGAAAACCTGGGATCTAGCTAGATCTAGCAACCCAATCTCTTGTTGTGGGGAAAGTGATGACCTGATGACACAATCACCAACCAATCACCTGCCATCACATGCGCCATGGTCAAAAGATGGTATATGGTTACTCATCCCACCATCATTGAGGATTCCCTATAATGGGTTTAAAAATCCACTATTAATCAGTTATCCCAAATATAATTTCATTTAATAGGGATTTCATTATATCAGTTATTATCCACCAGAATTTTCGTGGAATCCAAAAAAAATGGAATCCCTATTATATCATATATTTCTGGAGTCCCTATTAATGGCTATATAAATCCACTATTTTCCCTATCAATATATATATATATATATATATGGTTTATTAATCCATTAATAGGTTGGGTTCCATTGAACGGTTGATGCCACTGAATTCCCCACGTTCAGCGTCCGGGTGGTCCCTGAGAGACCTGACGGCCAGGGGTACCACAATGCCGTTGCCGCTCTCCTGGGATTTCGTTCGCGCTTCAACCGGACACAAAAAGATGTGACGTGTCACCAATAAAAATGGGATAATAACTGATTTCATGGATTATATATAATATATTATATATACATAGTTGATACTCTCGTGATGCGACACTGTTGCAGAGCAAAAGATCAAATAAACATGCGAGTGCAAACGCTGCTGCTATCTGTTTTGCACGCCAAAGTCATGGCAAAGTGAAAGATCGCTCAAGGGGCCCGCTGAAACATCAAAAGGTCAGCGGGTGGTTGATGAATGTGCAACGCAATGGTCAAAAGCACAAAATGACATGCAAAGCTCTTCGGAATGAAATTCACACTGATATACTTTCTTTTCATCAACCAGCATGACATAGGGATTATCCTGCCATGCCTGAAACGCCTCGCACAACTGCCTATCTTCTTTCGTTAAAACGTCAGCCCACATCACATCTGTGGGGACCCATCGGCAGTCATCTTCGTGGATAAAGTCTTGCACACTGCGAATCGCAATCATTGTTCTCCTCTCAGTGGTAGATGGATTTTCTGAGATCACTGCATCGTAAAGGCTTTTACAGTCTGTACATTGCAATTGGCGAAGGGCTCTCTCAAGGCGTGGTTCTCCATCTTTGGTGCCACCATAGAGAAGTTCTGTCAAAAAGTAGTTTGCGTAGGTGCATCTATCCACGGTCTCATCCATGGCATTGGCTTCACTTGCCAACGTCGATCTTGTCACTCGCGGACTGCGAGCACTCTTCCAATCCAAAATGGAAACGCTGGCTCGGTGCTCAAAGCAGTCTGGCGAAGCAATCAGAACGAGGCTTCCCATCTGTGATTTTCCACCTGGTGCATTGGCCCAACTGGAGTCTCCATATCCAATCAGCACGGCTGCACGATTGAAAGGCACTGTGTTGAACGTCAGGCCAAGATCAGGTGTCTTCTTGGCAACTTCCATATAGTCATAGAGAGTGCGGAGATCTTTGGGTTTGGTCTCAGCACCACGGTTTGCAAGGCTGACTGCGCTGCAAAGGTCAGGACGTGTTTGTCCTCCAAGCCACTGCAAAGAGCCAGCCACTGAACGAAATTCTTTCCATTCGTCCGGTGTGAGGGACTCAGCTTGAAGTCGGCCTCGGTCAAGTTTGCCGATGGTCATCTCATCAATGAAGGCCTTCTGGGTGACCTTCAAAACAAACTTGTTGTGCACTTTGTGTAACCGAATCTCTTTGCCTCGGAACACGATCTCATTGTCCATAGTGAGCAAGGTTTTGGAACCCCAGCGAAACATGTCCTCCAATTCTTGTAGAGGATAGTCTTCACGGAAGGTCACCAAAAAGTCATCAACATGAATGATCATGACAACGAGGAGCTTGTTCTCTTTGTCTTTCTTGATCAACATACACTTGTCGTATCTATGCTGCTTGAAGTCTTTCTTCTGAGCAGTGGACAAAACGTTCTTCCACCAAGTTCTTGGGGCTGAAGCAAAACCATACAAGTTTCCTGCAATGCCATAGAGCTCGTCGGGAAATGTTTGGGCCAATCGCTGGATGCCGTCCCGCGGTGACCTCATGAAGATAGGAAGCGGCCTCTCTTCTGGTTCTCCTTGAAGGAAAGCAGTTGACACATCTCCGGACCAGAGATGCCATATCTTCCCAGTGAGTTCAACCTGGGCATTCATTCCTGACACAGCAATCTGCAGCAAAACCATTTCACTAAGTTTGGATGGCGTAGGTGAACTTCTGGACAGAGTGGCTAAGTCAGGATCCTGGCATCCCAAGACCACTGTGCGACATTTGGCCTTGATTGTTGGGCCAGCACCACGCAACTTGTCACGGTAGGCATTCCTTGAAGGGATGATGCGTCTCTTCAAGGATGGTGTGTTCTTGATTTTCTGAATCTCCTCTTTGGGTAATGCATAAATGCTTCCCCAGCTTTTCCAGCTCTCAAACTCCTTCTTGTTGGCCTGGACATAGAGCTCCAAAACGTCAGGAGGTCCGTCGGCGATCACGCGCCACGGGATCTCACGGTCCATAGCCTTGCGCTCTTGGCGCGTCATAACATCCATGGAAGGGGCTTCCTCATCGTTGGATGAGTCGCTGGATAGGTCCACCTCGCCGGTCTTCTCAATTGCTGTCTTGAAGGCCTTGGAAGTGACTGGTGAAATGTGTGTCACATTTCCATCCCATCCATCTGTGATGCGCTCTACAAGGTGGTAGTTCTCTTCAGGAACCTGGGTGGCCACAAAGCTGTAGTAAGGCCAGCCTTGACCATGTCGATGTCTGCTCAACAGTGACAAACTGGTTCCAGAACTGCCTGACATCGGTGGTGTTGGCTGTGAACTTCCGTCAGCGCTGACATGTCCCGCTGGTCGAAGAGGGGGTTCATTGGAACCACTGCCGTCGCTGACATCAATCACCTGTGAAAAGCTTCTGGGAGCTGGTGGTTGAAGTAGAGGATCATCGCTGTCATTTGAAGTCGTTTGAAGTGGTTGCGTAGGTGAAGGTCTTGCCATCTCTGGCACTGGTGGCTCTGGCAATTGATCTTGTGGTTGTTCAGTAGACTGTTGTGGTGGTATCTGCGGGGGTTCAAGTTGTTGTTGCGTTTGTAAAGGCTCAAGCTGTGGTGTCTCTGGCTGGATTCGCTGTCTCACGTTGCGTTCAAAGCTGTCTCCAGCCTCATAGTCCATTGGCTGCTGGTAGTGGCGAATGTCCTGTTGTAGAGTATGTTGATATGTTGGTGAGTAAATCATGGTGTCTTGACGTAGAGGATGTTGAAAATCTGGCATAGGAAGAAATGGTGTTGGTGGTTCTTGAGGAGGTGCTGGTGGTATTGGCGGTGGCTGTGGCTCACCAAGTAGTTGGGGTGGTTCGAGCATCAGCATAGGTTCATCTTGAGCAGCTGGTGCGATCTCAGGTTCCATGGGTTCATCTTCCGGTGGTCCTGGTCCGCGATGGTCACGCCAAAGTCCATGTTGGATGTTGACGGATGCATCCTTGAGAGCGCGGATATCAGCCATGTTGGGTGCCCAGGATTCCAGACCGAAAGTTGGTCGCAGCTGCTCATAGGTGACCTGAACTGTGGTCGTGCCGGCTTGTAGCCAGGCTGATTTGCCATCAGGATCATGGTGAAGAAGTCGGCCCAAAACATAGCCGCCACGTTTCTTTCCAGAAGACCTTTTTGTCCATCTCCAGTAAGCTGCTAAGGATCCTGGAAGAATCTGTTTGGATTCATCCTTGTTGGGCTTGGTCTTCCTCAGCAAAGCTCGCTTGATGACATGGGAGGCACGTGTCTCATCGATGACTCGCAAGGCTTGGCATCTAAGCTCCTCTGCGATCATCTGGTTGTCGGAGACGACAAGTGCTCTGTCATCAGACATCAAATCACCTGGAAAACGTGGAAGGCGGCCAAAAACTGCTTGATATGGGCTTCTGCCTTTTGACGCTGTGGTGGAATTGAGTGCTTGAACTGCTGCAGTCAAAACCCAGTCAAGTCCATCGCCACTGACCACCGCATTCTCGTCAAGGAGTTTCTCAACCACAGTCCTGAGCACGGCGTTCTTTCTCTCAACTGTGCCAATGCGCCAATGCGCCTCAGGAGGAATCACCACAAGGTGTACACCGGCTTCTTCAAGTTTCAGGCGAAACTCGCCCTCAAAGGCTCCATCTGCATCCACCTCACAAACCAGGGGATACCCATAGGGCATCAGCCAGCTTCTTCTGAATTGATCTGCGACGTGGGCAGAGGCTCGACTGTGAAGGCGAACTGCCTGCTGCAATGAAGTGGCCATGTCAACCATGCCAAGGATTGGATGATTTGTTGAAGAAAGATCGCGTACATATACTATATCAAGTTGAACACGTTCACCAAATTGACCCATGAAATGAGGAATGGATGCCGGTCTTGGTGGTGGTGGTGGCTTGGTTCTTTCACAGGAGCCACAAACCATGTGTTCAATTGCTGTCAATGTTGGTCCGTTGATTGAGCCATGAGAAGCCAAAAGTCGAATCAGCTCCTTCTTGTGGGCATGGCCTGTGTTGATGTGCAACCTCGCAACTGAGGCCTTGACTTCCTTCGGCAGGGTGGCTGGCGCCGTTGAGAAGGTCACATCTGTCCTCAAGCCAGGAACTGGGAGTCGAGCTTCAGCTTCATCAAGTTGAGGTTGATGTTGTGGTCCAGATCCATCATCATCAGCCAAACCATAAAGGAGGATGGCTGCGTTGACTGCCTTGGTGAAGCGCTGCTTGGGGAACCTCACATTGGCCAAATCTTCGGCTTCAACGCTGAGAGATTGATCGGCGTAAAGCAGCGCAGCTCCACGATGTGTAAAGGCAGCATCTTTTGGCATTCTTCTGGTGATTGGTGTGGACACGATTTGAACTCGAGTGAGCTCCCAAGGAACCAACTTGGACACTTTCTCATAGAGTTCTTGCCCAGGTTGAAGTATCAAGGATTTCACAGCACTGCCGGCAAAGGTGTTCTGGACGTCGTCCAGCAGTTTCTTCCAAGCTTCTGCATCATCCAAAGGCTGTGCAAAGAAAACCTTGTGGTAGTCAAAACGGTTGGGAGTCACTTGTCTGGCATGATCCTTCAAGGCTCTGAGAATTGATCGCACCATGGCATCTGGATATTCTTGAGATCGTGTCACATTGATGCCCTCCAAAGGCTTGCACACCTGACGTTCTTGTGCTGAAAGACGTCGATGGAGTGAGCTAGCCAAAATGGGGCTGTTGGTCAAAAACTTGTGGGTCTTGATAATGGGAAAGCCATCACGATCGGCGGCTCCAAAAGCACCTGCATCGCAAAGCACTTCAACAACTCCTGGGAGCTGGGCAAGCTTTATGACGCAGGGTTCATCCCAGATTCGGCAACGTAGAGTGCTCTCAAAGAGAAAGAAGTTGCCAAGGCCCACCTGTATTTCAATCAAGTAGCAAGTCCATTGAAGTAGAGGTCGTTGTTCATTTCGAAGGGCTTCCAGCTCATGCATCCTCCAAGAGTAGTTGCAGTTCTCGTTCAGCAGACACCAAAAGGTGCATGGAAAGCCCAGCATCAGGAGCAGTGGTTTGAAGCGTTCAATGGCTCGTTCAACCAATCGTTTTTGCTCGGGATCATCAAGATCTTTTCCTTCATTCTTGTCAAAGGGCTCCAATGCATTGAGTCCATACTGCTTGGCCATCAGAGTTGCTTTGGCTGCGCCTGCATAGAGCTCGAGGAGGTCAATTGCATTGGTCTTGGAGCTCTCATTGGGCAAGTTGTTCAAAACCAAAACTTCCGCCTCGCCGATCTTGATTGACTTTTTCAAATCACCAGTCAGTCGTTTGCGTCGTCCAGGAGCCAGCTGTAGTTGGACTCCAGATCGAAGGTCTCCAGATCCTGAATTGGGATCTCTTCTGGCTTCATGTGTCCTGCTGCCGAAGAGGTCATGGAAGGAGGCCTGGACCTGGTCTTGCCAATCTTGTTGTTTGGTGCTGGCTGCACCTTGGGCATGGCGCCAGTCAAAGGAAGATGTTCCGCTTGGAATTCCATCACTGGCATCATTGGCGGACGGATTGACCCATCCACTGTTGTTGAGGAAGACGGTAGAGGCAGTGATGATTTGGAGGAGCATCCATGCAACTTCCAGCCTGTTCCGACCCACACCCATCTGGCCTTGCAAGTCACGCATGTCGCGAAACTGCCGTGCTTGTTGCCGTGGCGCTTGAACTCCCTGTGCGGGCACTGAGCCTGGAGCTGGTTCTGGTAGGTGTCTGTGGCCGATGGCTTGTGAAGCTGACTGGACGTGCCCGGTTTCTTCTTCTTGTCCTTCATTTTCTCGGGGTTCTTGAGGTAGTTCTCGTAGTCGTCGTAGGGGATCAACCCAAGGCGGGCTGCCTGTCGGAAGTGCAGAAGAGCAGTTACCGACAGCATCAGCAGCTTTCCGCATAGATGCTTCCAGCGCTTTCTCACCTCGGGGTCGTAGTGCATCGTGGTCACAGTCAGAGCTCGAAGGCATCAGCTGAGAGCGAGTTGCTGGAAGAGCCAGGGTTGCCGTGTCATCATCATCAAAATTCACTTGCTGCAAGTTGAACACCGAAGCAACTTCTGGATCATTGAAACCAGCATCTGAAATCTGTGACCAAACACGCAAACGATTGGGCTGTGGTGGAAAGTTCAAAATATCAATCGCAAGATGTCCACCAATGCGTTTCAAAGGTGTTGTAACATCAAGTTTGCTGAAATAAACCACTTGCTGAATCAAATCGATCACACCGCCCAGACGTTTCAACAAACGAAGACTGCCAAGGAAAGGAATACTCGTATCAACAACATTCACACCAAAAATCAAACATTGCTTTTCGATTGCTGATGGCATCCAAACTTTCAAAGTTGACAATACCGGTTCACCTGCTCCAAATTGAAACTGTTCATGGCTGGCCTCCTCGAAGACCTTGAGCTTCCATGATGCCAGCTTGTCTGCCTGCAGTGCAATCCATTGAGTTCCACAACAGCATCTTTGACAAGCCGTATCCATGATCATGTAGCCAGTTGTATCACCAGAAACTGTGGAGAGGCAAACATAAGGGGCTGTGCAAACCATTGTAAAATGTGGATGTGAAAGTGCATGATGAGGTAAATATTCCACCGTGCTGTCAAACCCGGTGCTGTGGTGGACGGTCATCACCTTTTTCGAAGCGCCATCGTCTTTGCCCTTGTGGCCACGTTCTTTCCCCTTAGGGGCAGCAGAGGTAGATGAGGAATTGTTTTTCGCGTCTTGCAAACCACTTTGGTCACATTCCGCATCACCAGCCCAGTGGCCGCGTTGTCCGCAGGCTGCACAAATTGATGTCTTCTTCTTCTCGGCGATGCTCTTGCGAGGCTGGCCAGAAAACTTTCGACCCTGAGTGACACTGGCCAACTTCCTAGCTGTGACTGTGAGAACCTCAGTGAGATGCGCCACATCCGTGTCGCCGTCATCCACATCGGCATCTTCGTTGTCCTGAGCATCCTGCTTAGGGATGTTGCCATCGTCTTCTGCCTCCTGATCGGCTTCAGGCCCATCTCCAGCGTCATCCTCAGGAGCTTCCTCAGGAATGGTCTCAGTCTGATAGACCCGCTTGTATCCTTTGTCCTTGCCCTTGCCTTTTCCATTGGCTAGAGACGGGCTGTTCGAACTGGAACTGGATGATGAAGAGCCTTTGCCAGAGTTCCCCTTCGTCTGAAAGGGCGCTGTTGAGGCATCTCGACCAGCAACTGGAGGTGAAGGTTTATGCTCTGGATATTGCAGCATCAATGCCGCACGCACTGATTCAAATGACAGGGATTGATTTGTTCCCACAAGCACCAAGCGCTGTTGCTCAAGCGTCAAACGTGATCTGTCAAGCAACCTGGAACCACGGCTTTCATCGTCGTAGGTCAGGCAGATGTCTACCCCGATTGCACGCAGAGAGGACTCCACGCGTCTGTACCTGTTGATGAACGTCCTCAGGGTTTCGCCTGGCCAACGTCCAATCGTCTCATAGTCATGAAGGTATTGTCGTTTAATGTACACTGTCTTCTGCTGAAAAGCCTGCTTGAGATGATTCAGAATTGTGTCGACACCATCTTTGTGATAGATGGTATTGATGTCTACAAACTCCAATTCCTGTTCTGCTTCGCCTTTCAGAGATGTGTACAAGGTGAGAGCTGCTTCCGAGTCTGTCATGAAATGCTTAGCATGTAATGCCCAGATTCGGACCTTCTTCTCGAACTTCTCGTATGCACGCAAGTCTGATGAATTATAAGACCATGACGGGGGAACAGGTGGTGCTCCGCCCCGAAATTTCACACCTCGCTGAGGACCCATGGCACTCACCCAAGAATCCGTTGATGTCGATGGACCACGTCCGCGGTCATTGTCACGCGTCAACTGTCTCAAAGCATCTGTCAGCGCTGCAATCGGATCGCCGCCATTTTGGTGGTTTCCACGATTGTTTGCGACGTTTGAGCCTGCAGGGGTCACATCCATCGGCGGATCTAAGGTTGGAACTTCTGACTCGGCCCACTCACGGCCATCATCCCCATCATCGGGGTCCCCAGGATTCGAGCCGCCAACGCGTCGACGTCGTCTCGCTCGATGTCGACGTCGTGAAGCAGCACTTGAAGGTGGGACCTGGGGAGGCTCTGAAGAGCCTCTAGGCATGAAAACCCAGGTACCGCCCGCAGTCTGCTTCTTGGCAGGCAAGGTTGGGTCAAAGTATTCATAGGAGAAACACGCATTGCAATGCCAATCATTTGAGGCATTGTCCCAGCTAAAAACACGGTTGCCACAACGTAAACATTCCCACAAGTTGCCAGCTGTTGATCTGTTCGTCAAATCAGGATTATCGTCCAGGATTTCCAAAATCAACTGAATTGTCAAACAGATAATCATCCAAGTCTGTATAGATGTCAAAGCTTTCAACTGAATGAGCGTATTGGGCTGCATGATCTGCTGAGCCTGCGAGCTCCTGTTTCATCTTGGAGTATGAAGGCATACTTCTCGATTTGTGCGTCTGCCCCAGATCGGGGCTCCGCTCTACCAACTCGTGATGCGACACTGTTGCAGAGCAAAAGATCAAATAAACATGCGAGTGCAAACGCTGCTGCAATCTGTTTTGCACGCCAAAGTCATGGCAAAGTGAAAGATCGCTCAAGGGGCCCGCTGAAACATCAAAAGGTCAGCGGGTGGTTGATGAATGTGCAACGCAATGGTCAAAAGCACAAAATGACATGCAAAGCTCTTCGGAATGAAATTCACAGATACTTGTCCAACATCCAATATCTCCATATATATAAATATATATATATATACATATCATATTAGGTTGATTACCATGGTGTTTCATGGTTTCATGGTTTGGTCACGGCGTCCTTCGCCTCAGCTGGTGGTTCTTCACCTTCAGCCTGAAGCGCAATGATGGCTTCGGCACTGCGCAGGGGGTCATGAAGGTTTTTTTTACCCACTGATGATCACTGATGTGACTCATCTATCTATAATATAATTTAATATAACAAAATATATAATATATAACATATAACATATAACATATAATATAATATATATAATATATAATATGATATGTAATATATAATATATAATATATAATATTTAGTATTTAATATACAATATACAATATACAATATAATATATAATATAATATATAATATAATATAATACAATATAATATAATACAATATTATATATATAGTTTGGAATATACATAATTATATATATAGTAATCTCTAATGTTATCTCTCACTTTCAGATCTTCAGCTATGCTTCTTCACTTTTTAACAGGCCAAACATGATCGGCTCACCGCCTGGCATACGACGTCCAAAGGAAGAGAGATCCTCAGCAGAACAGCAGTGGTGGCTTGTGGATGAGGTGTCGAGTGTTCACCAAAAAAGCCATGGATATCAATAGATCTGGATAGTTACCCCTGTAATTTATAGTAACTTAGTAACAATGATGATGATAATAGATATACATATATATATATAATGTATCTCCATATAATAAGTCATTGACCTACATAGTTTGGTTACTTTGGGATAGTTTCCCCTTTCTCACCATCATTCCGGTCGCAGTGAGATCATTTTTCGGGTACCCAATGTTGATCCATAGCCAATTGGAGTGATGAAAAATTACTACAACATAATACAAAATAACTGATTCCAGTAGATTAAAACTACATCACAGAAATCACCTACTGTATCACATAAGTCGTTTCAGTAGCTAAGGTCATGACGCCACTCCGGTCCTGACCACTGCATGGATTTTTTCGCAAACAAATTTTGAACAGCACTGGGCTGTTAGGAATTTGGAAGCACTATTCCAGATTGATCCAGTGTTTGTCTCTACATGATTTAAGGATTTCGAATAGATCGGCGCCTCATCACTTCCAAAAGAGCCTGGCCACGGGTGAATCGATTTTCGCCTTCGCCTTGAGAAATCCATCAGTTTTGGGGGTTTTAGTCGAACATCTACCAGAAACCATAGGATCCATAGGTATTTGGCTGGTCTTTCACCCCCAGCTGCGGGATCCGGATTTCTCTAAACTTTCCCATCATCCAAGCCTGGGAAATCAAAAACAACAAGCCGTGCCTCGCGAAGCGCTGCCTTGATAGCACCATCCAGGGATAGGCCGTCACCCATCGGCATGCCAAGAACACCTGGAAGTTTGCTCCCACTGTTGGTATCTGAGTATCTGATGGGGCGTAGAAAACAATCTACGGCCATGTCGTTTTTTTCATGGAATGGGGCTATAGAAAGCAGTTCAACCCCCAATAGAATTCAATCCTCAACACCAAAAAAATTTGGCACATAGAGTTACCCTCTGGTAAACGTTTACATAACAATGGAAAATCACCATTTATAGTGAGTTTTCCCATGAAAAATGGTGGATCTTTCCATAGTTTTTTGTATGTTTACCAGAGGGTAACCTTCACCTAAAAGAGCACCTTAGTAGCACCTGGAAACAGGATTACCTCTGGAAAATCCATCAAAATCTCAGATGGAAATATTTCCGTACACCATATTTCCCTATAATTGTCCATGGATTTATGTATGGAATCTATTTCCTCTATCATTCTCCAATTTTTGTAGCACAATTCCACTTACGATTCCTAGAGGGCACCTCCAAGCAAAGCGGGGGCCAATTCTCCAGCGGCCATGATGTGCACGCCTCCCTGCCGAGGAAAAAAAACGCGATCGCGGGGTGGAAAACACCGGGAAAATGCTGGGAAGTTGGGAGAGATCATGGGAAAACCTCCAGTATCTCATGGAAAACGTGGACTCTTGGGTGATAAGTCCTGAACATGAGGAAAAAATCAGCCGCATACCTGGAAAATTAACTGCACTTTGCAATGGCGATCTGGCTATCTACAATAATTCGGAGTCCTCCTTTTTCTGTTTAGGGACGCCTTTTTTATCAGGTACCATCTCACCATCTTTTTGGATTGTAGTGCAATGACTGCTGCTTTACTAACTCCCCAGTATCAGTACCAGTTCAAAGACGAATCTTGTAGATTCAAAAATCACAAGTGCATATCATATAATATGACAATTGTCTACTTCAATGTACATACATATGTATATATATATATTATTCTATTATATATATATATATAACATGTATAACGCCATTCATCGGGTGCTTTTTCACGAACACCACACCGCACCACACCTTCTCGTACTGCGCCAGGCGCGACAAACCAATCAGCAGCTCCAATTTCTTCAGCAGCACCTCCTCCCGGCCGAAGTCGCCGCCACCCAGGACGATCAACAGCGGGGCAGGGGCTGCGGCCTCCCAGGGAAAAATCCAGCTGCATGGGAAGATCTAGATCCATTGATTGGTTTAAGGGATCTTTTTCTACAAGAAATCCCTCCTTTTTATGCGAAATTCCATGGTTTCCGGTTAAGATCTTCCCGGAAAACCAATCCAGTGAAGAGATCCCCGGCGAATATCATGAATGGATTTATGACCATCCCCCAATATGAGTGTATGATCCCACTCTTGACCGTGGCACAAATCGAATTGGTCTCAAAAATAATGAATCCCATCTTTAAAAAGTGGTTGGATTTTTTCCACCCATTATGTTTGGGATTGATTAGACACCATGATGGGATTGAATATTCCCATGACGTGGCATTGAACCCGTCTTAAGTAAGAAAAAAAAAAAGGTCCCCAAGAACTGGGTTGATCTAGACCATCTTCTGAGTATGACACAAATAGTATCATGTAGTAATATCATGATCATACTGTATTTAGTATTGATTTGTATGTATATGTATATTATACTTGTTTAGGTGTGCATCATTTTTTGACATAGAGGGTCATATGAACCTCAACTTACAACCGACACCATCTCGACAAACACATGTTTTTGGCTCAACCAGTTCAGAGCTCACGAGTCAGTACAGTGAAGATACGACGCCATTAGAGGCACGGCAATCTTCTGCATGGATTGGCTTGATTGAACTAATGCCAACGAATGTCCAAAGCAAATCCAGGAATTCTCACTGCAAGAAGGGACTTCCCACTTATAGTTTGAGTTAGAATCCCATCTATAGACCAAGCGCTTGCGCGGGGCACACATGCACCGGTGACAAGAGGAAGAAGTATAATACAGTATGCAAGGACCTGTTGCCCTATGGGTGTGGCGTTGTCTTTAAAGTCATTGAAGACTTTGAGCACAAATCTTTGAAGGTTCGAATCCTTCCAGGTCCGTTTTAGTTTTCTGTTTCTTTGCTTGGTCTCGCCTTGTTTTGGAATCCTTCCAGGTCTTTCGGCTTGTTTTCATCTCTTCCGTTAGCTGCTTGCTGCTGTGTCAATCACAGCAGCTTTCGGAGTCCCCGCCTTTCCGTCGTCGTCCACCACAGACTGCTCCAATTCAGCACGAGCCGCCTCCTGCGAGGTCATCATCCACCAGTTTGACCGCCACTTGGTGAAATATATCGATGTCCAGCCTCCTCTGCCGCAGTGGCACGGATTGGAAGCTGCCTCGGAAGCAGTTTCCATGCTGAAACTCTCCACCCTGCAACCTTCGACAACAGGTTCACCATTCTTGGCACATGATTTTTTTAACAAACCTCCCATTTGTTTAACCTCCAGATTTCGTAGGGCCGAATTTCCCCCCAGTGGCCTGACACCGGTGGATCTCAGCTCCGGACAACGCGTCCAGGAAGGCGGCGAGTTCGACTTCGATGGATGGACCCACCACCCTTTGGGGCGCCTGGCTGGTAATAAATGGTACACATCGGAAAGAATGACCCAAAAATTGAGGGATGCATCATGAATTACAGTACTTACATAGTAATACAGAAGCACCAGCAATCCGGTTGACCCTGAGATCCTGGACTTCTGACCTTCCAAGCCCAGATTTTTCTCAATCCAGCCAGGAGCTCCCGAGGCCACAGACCAGTGCTGAGGGTCATGGACTGACAGCTCTGGCACAACGAATCCTGAACCTTGGATGATCAGTCCACTTAGGCTGCCCACCTCACATGGGTAAGGAATGGAACTGCTTCCTGCACAGATATCACATGACATCACCCAAAATTGGGGGGATTACTCTTGGGATGTACCAACTCCCATGGCCCGTGGCAGTGCAAGTTGGGTCTTCCAAGGCCCCTACAGTAATCACCATCTATACGTATATATATATATATATATATCTATATATATATATATATATCCGCCGACCCCGGCAGACGCAAGGGGGAGTGCGTAAGGGAAAAAGAGTTTATGACACAGCTGCCAGGAAAGAATAATAATAATTCGCTGACCCTGGCCGATGCAAGGGGGAGCGCGTAAGGGAAGAAGAGGTGCTGCACTGCTACTTTTATACTGCCAGGCAGCACCAGGCAGCAGCAGGCAGCAGCAGGCAGCAGGCAGCAGGTAGCAGCCAGCAGCAGCCAGCAGCAGCCCGCACCAGCCAGCAGCAGGCAGCAGTACGTGTCTGGCAGGCAGCATCCGGCAGCAGCAACCAGCAGCAGCCGGCGTTAGGCAGCCAGCAGCAGCCGGCGTTAGGCAGCCAGCAGCAGCCAGCAGCAGCCAGCAGCAGCCAGCAACAGCCAGCAGCAGGCAGGAGCAGGCAGCAGCCAGCAGCAGGCAGGAGCGGCAGGCAGCAGCAGGCAGCAGGCAGCAGGATTCCTTTTTGTAGGAGATTTCAGAAGGGACGTTCCGGCCTCGGGAAGCGCATATTTTGGACTCCGTTCGTCCTTCAGGGCCATGGTGTTTCCCCGTCCGGCAGGGCCGTATCTTTGTGGGCACAGCAGCAGCAGCAGCAGCAGTTGTTTCTTGCTTTGGAGGCTGTTTGATTGCAGCAGCACGACAGCAGCAGCAGCCACCAGTAGCAGCACCAGCAGCAGCAACCAGCAGCAGCCGGCGTTAGGCAGCCAGCAGCAGCCAGCAGCAGCCAGCAACAGCCAGCAGCAGGCAGGAGCAGGCAGCAGCCAGCAGCAGGCAGGAGCGGCAGGCAGCAGCAGGCAGCAGGCAGCAGGATTCCTTTTTGTAGGAGGATTCAGAAGGGACGATTCCGGCCTCGGGAGAAACGCATATTTGGAATCCGTTCGTCCTTCAGGGCCATTGGGGTTTCCCCGTCCGGCAGGGGGCAGGAAAGAATAATAATAATTCGCTGACCCTGGCCGATGCAAGGGGGAGCGCGTAAGGGAAGAAGAGGTGCTGCACTGCTACTTTTATACTGCCAGGCAGCAGCAGGCAGCAGCAGGCAGCAGGCAGCAGGTAGCAGCCAGCAGCAGCCAGCAGCAGCCCGCACCAGCCAGCAGCAGCCAGCAGCAGGCAGCAGTACGGGTCTGGCAGGCAGCATCCGGCAGCAGCAACCAGCAGCAGCCGGCGTTAGGCAGCCAGCAGCAGCCAGCAGCAGCCAGCAG